GTTTATTCATTTTCTTCTCTCATGAAAGAAAGCTATATTTCAGCGGTAATCCAGGAGGAAATAAACAAGTTGTACGAATGGACTATTTCGTGGAATATGTCACTTAATGTTGACAAAAGTGGATTTATTCACATTGGTCGCTGTCTTAACTTAAATCTGACTGTACAGACACATACACTCAAACCTCTCAACACTGTTCGTGACCTGGGTTTAAGATATAGCAACAGTCTGAACTTTTCTGAACACATTATATCTCAAGTATCCAAAGCTAGAAAACTCATCGGATTGATAATGATAAACTTCAATAATATCGAATCGAGATTGTTACTATACAGAAAATGTATCTTACCCATTCTTGAATATGGTATTTTAGTTTACAGTAATTGTAGCCATAATGATCTGATTAGAATTGAAGGTGTTCAAAGAAAGTTCACCAAAGCTGTTTTGGGGTATTCCGATAACAAAGACTATTACCAAAGATGTCAACAACTCAACTTAGAACCTCTTTGGATCAGACGTATCAAATTAAATCTTGTCTTTATCTACCGGCTCATTAACAGTATTTCCTACTCATCGGTATCCCCCCTTCATACCTTATAATATCATCCCACAGTCTACGCAATAAGGAGAACATTCTAGCGATTCCATGAACCCACACAAACTTACGTCAGAATTTTTTCCTTATTCGCTACTCAACCATGTGGAACAGACTGCCAGTGAACCTCCGTTGCAGTGAAACTACAACCCGGTTCAAAAGTCTCCTTGACGATTTTCTTTCCGAAAGTGGATTATGTCACCTATTGAATATCAATGTATTCAATAATGATTTATACAAACAAGGTCCGTCATCTATTTAATTGCTTGAAAAGCAAAATAAAAACTTTAAATCTTTTCACGCCTATTTTGTATTATTTCTCTTTATCTTAATATATGAAGTCTGCTTATGTTCGTGTTTATCATTATTACCGTTATTAATATCATTATTAATTCCCCAACACATTAGATATTCTCTTTATCTCTTCTTATCCTTCTAAACATATTTAACTCCAGATTGTCCTTTGAAATCATTTTGACTTTCATATCATCAATCTTAATTATTATTGCACAAATATTTATACTAATATCCGGTTTCATTCTGTATACTATTACATAAATCTAAATGTATTCATCCGAGTGCTTTAAAGGATTTTTATTTTTTATTTTTTTTCAATTGCTGGTTTCCTTCTGAGGTTGATATTCATTACACAATTATTATTCTTATCATGGATGAACCTTTTCACTAGGTGTTCACTTCTTTTCTCTCTCTTCTTCCCTTCTAAATAAATCTTATTCTTAAGATTATGAAGTTTCTAATTAAGACAATAACTTGTGTTACACTTTAATTAACTTCTCAGATTCGTTTTATCTTCACTATGCATATATGACTCATACATAGTGATATTTCGTTATCCTTTTCACTTAATTGTGACTTTCATAGCATCACTCTAAACAATAACTACACAAACATTTATTCTAGCGTCATATCTTACTACAATGATAAATTATTTTTTGTTACTAATTTAACGATACACACATAGTCGTTTATTCTTGTTATGTGTTTATAAACACGCCTATTACACTGTTTGCGTATTTCACGTCTCCTTTATTTCTATTCCCTTATTTTCTCCATTTCCTTCTTTAAACTCATTTCAATATTCTTCTCAATTACACAGACCCGATTTATTATTATTAATATTCTACTATTATTATTCTAAATTTTTTTTTAAATATTTTATTTTATTCTTTAAATATGGCAAGTATAATGCTAACAATATTGAAAATTGTGTATTATTGCATTTTCTGAAGAAACCCGAAATGGTTTCTTCACAACACTTATGTACCCATAAGATGTTTGTGAATAATAATGATTATAATCTGTAGTGAATCAAGATAAAAGAAAAGCAACACTAGTGATAATTATAAGTAAATTTGCTGACCGATTTTGTTAATAGTTTCATTAATATTATCAATCATATTACGTGATTGTCAAGTCATGACAATGCTTTATGACGATATCCCGAAACTATTACGTTTAGCTAGTTATAATGTTGATTGAGGATTAGTCCGTGGAAAAATAGGTATTGTTGCTTTAGGTGATCCAAAATTATCCGAAATTTGTAATGTTACAGAATTCGAGACGCCTAATTTAATTATAAATTTTAATTTAGAAATATTCGTTTAGTGTTAATGCTAGTAGGCTACGGAGTTTTGATTTTAAACGTTTGTTTAGCCAACAGCTACCCAGGGATTTAGTTATTTTACTAGTGCAGTTGATAGTACCTAAATTTTTAATCTTATTATCTAAACTATGTTCGCATTTTAGGCTGCTAATATGATAAACCAATCTATAAACCCAAATACGATTAGCAACAACGACCATGATGGCTTTATTGATAAATGTTAAAGGCGATTCAGATGATTTCTAAATTTAGAAGACATGAAGATATAGTGCAACGCATGTACGGGTCAGGGTAACATGCAGGTTGTTCACGTATATGACAATTTAGAAATAATGAACATGACCAGAAAATAATTTTCAAGCTAAGACTGCTTATGAAACTCTAGGCAGGAATATAATGCGTTATAAACATTCCATAAGTTACTGCATTTAGCCTAGGGACACTTACAAATATATGGCAAAAGCAACTGGAAAACACATACATGTTAAGTACAAAAAAATCATCCAGTAAAATAGTTGAACTCGCCTGGGTTATTTTTGAAAATTAGATTATTCAATGAACGACATATATAACACCATTCGTGAGGAGTAGTAATGATCCAAATGTATCTAGAATAAAACATGCAGTATGGCAATGAATTCTGAGGTGCTTGATGCTGTTGACGTTTTCGCCACTCGCTCGGATCAGAACAATCGAATGAATTCAGATCATTGTGTGGTCGCCATTGAACGAGCCGTCGTATGTTTTTAGAGAAGTGTCATCCTTGTTGTTTGGCAATGGAACTCGAAAATATGAAATTAGGCAGGCAGTGGTCAGAAGAAAAGATAATTCAGGATAGTGCAGTTTAAAGTAGGATGAGGTGTTAAGTGAGGGAACACTGAGAATTAGATCCAGATAACTATTTAGTCCTTGATTGCATTGCTAGTCAATGTATATTTACGCTATTTACAGGTCATAATTGCTAGAGCTTGATTTTCAAACAAGACTATGTCGCTGAAGCATGTAAATGCTATTAAGGCTTGTTAACGAATCATGAAAGCTAACTAGTTAATATAGACGACCAGTTTTTACTATCGAATGAGCTAGTATGTTATGGGAACTAATCAATATAACATTACCATAATACATGTGAGCATTAATCAGAGGACTATTAGAATAATGGGTTTATACAAATAAAAACCGATTGAGAACGTTAAGGTGGATCTAAGGACTAGCAATAACAGGTTGCGCTTCGTTAGTTGGGCTCACCAATGTAGAATTATGGTCTACTATGATATTAGTACTGCTCTAATAATAGACCTAATCCTAAATTTGTAGATTTGTCATGATATAACTGCCTAATCTATAAGATCTTACGTGGAAGTCACACCATCGACTACACCAACTCACTGTATCGTATCAATTACCAATACATGATGTAGAACAAGGTTAGGCTAGAGAAAGAACAATATATTTAGTATGAATAGAAGATATAAGGTAACATTGAGCAGAGACCACGCCTGCATGGCCGAGCCATGCCGTTCGATCAAATCTAATTCATTCAGTTTATTATTCGCGCCTTCTCCATCGTTAGGTATTTCTCCGCGTTAAATATTGAATATCTATTTTCCGAGTAATCTCGTATTCAGCTTTGAGGATTGTGTGGTTATGGTCCAATGCCAGTACAAGTTCGGGTGAACTCAAGGTTATCTAGCTGGGAAACTGTGCTTAATGGAGTGCCCCAGGGTACAGTTTTGGGGCCAGTGCTATTCCTCTTGTATGTAAATGACCTTCCTTGTCTCCTATCATCATCAGTCTTGCTATATGCTGACGATGTCAAGATATGGAAAGCGATACGACGTAAGAGTGATAGCTTAGAACTTCAAAATGACCTGAAGAGATTATCTGAATGGTCTCAAACCTGGCAGTTGCCGATAAATACTTCCAATTGTGTTGTGATGCACATCGGTCATCAAGGTACAGATGCATACACGAGGAATAACACTGAGCTACCTGTCGTCCACACACATAATGACTTAGCAGTCGTCGTTAGCCAAGACTTAAAGACTACTGCACACTGCCGTGCAATAGCCATCAAAGGTTTTATAACCTTATGGTCAATACGCAGTGCTTTTATTCATGTCGACGCCAAAACGATTCCGACTTTGTGTACAGTGTTCGTACATCCTAAACTTGAGTACTGCATAGAAACGGCTAGTTCCTGCTTAAAAAAAGACAGTGAGCTTCTGGAAAAGGTTCAGAGAACGGCGACCAAGCTGGTTCCCGGAGTAGCAAAGCTTCCGTATAAATCTCGACTGGCCAAGCTGAACCTTTTCCCGTTATCATATCGCACAACTAGAGGCGACTTGATTACAGTCTACAAATTGCTTAGTGATAAATTTGCACCTAACATGCCCTCATTTTTCTTGTCTTCCAAAACAGAGAATTTACGAGGACACTCCAAAAAAGTTTACAAGCCGAGAGCAAATTACTTGTCAGCTGACTATCGACTTTCCCATCGAATCATCAACGAGTGGAATTCAATACCTCAGCACGTGGTTGAGGCTCCATCCGTCGACTCTTTCAAAAGAAAGTTGAATCAACTGAGAGACCACCATTGCCAGGACTAACATAGGCCATCGAGCCTCCTGTCCTTCCCAAACTGAAGCTGAAACTAAATAAGTGGATGTTAACTTTCTTCACAACATAGAACGCACTGACATTTATTAATGAAAACAAGTGACAAGAAGTCAGAGATAACACGATAACCTAGTAGTCAAAGCAAGAAGTTTTAAACGTAACATTGTTCTCCATGGGTGTGATCTAACCACAACAATCAGGAATTGTTTTGACCGATTGAAGGTCAACTGCGGAAATATAGTTTGTCTGACCACGGCGGTAGTTTTTGCTCCTAATGTTGTCCTTAGTGGAGCGAGAATTCGGGGTTGTGTGCACAAAAGTTGTTCACTCACCTTGTGATGTTAAAATAAATTGTGATATTGAAAATGAGTGTCCTAAATCCTCCAATGGCTTTGTTAAAACGTTTAGATGTGACGACTTTGAAGGGAACCCTCTAAAAATTGAAAAAATAGCGAACTTATCAATTGAGTCAAGTTTTACTGACTCACAAGAAGAATCTACAGGGCCAAGCTCAAGATTCTTCGACTTTACAAGACTCAAACCTCTGGAGCAGTAAGTTTAGTATTTTGGAAACACTTTCAGTAAACCTGTTGGAGGATATATCGATAACGTACTTTATTTTGTACGTGAAAAAGGTGAACAGTTTGTTGGGTTGTTTCCAAGGACTAAGACTTTCAAAAGAATTCTACGCATTAGTTCAGAGTTTAGTGAGTAACCTTTAATGCTATATGAGCTTCTAGATGTTGATGTAAATCATTCAATTAAAGAATTATTTCATGAATTAATCCCTTCTTTTCTTGTAAGACAAAATGCATAACTTGTAAGTTTCAGAATTTTGTTTGCACTTATGAGTGCATGTACAAACTGTCTCATGAAGTGTTCCAAGCACGATATGAAACATGTGACGACAAAGTACTTAGTCCCCCTCTATCGTTTGTTTCTGGAGAATTGGTTTGTCTATTTCTTATTAGTACTCATTTCAGACTGTGAATATCGCGCCCTACAAGCTTAATGAACTGATCTCAAAGGTTTTGGAGGAAATACGCATTTTAAAAGTAAAAGTAGTATTATGTTAATTAACAGGATTTATATCGAGCTTACGAGTGCGACTCATCAGTTTGGCTAGCAAACTCTACAGTTAATAGTGAACAATTCAGGACTGAGATTCCGGATATATTCAAATCAGGTAAACTATTCTAGTTATTATTTCAAGAACTAGTTAAACCAAATCATGTTGATCGACCTGATGGAAGTGATTATGGTGTTAATTTTAATCACCTGCTTTCTGGACGAAAATTGGATTCATCTGAAGTTCTTTGGAGTGTACTTAAAGGTAGGGTGTTCGTAACACATTTATAACTTCAAATGCACTCATGATAATCACGTCTGGATTCCTGTTGTTAATACAATTTATGGACTATTAGATTTAGCACACGAAAATTAATTAGAACAGCATATATATATTTATAAGACATTTAGTCATCAAAAGCAGCCAATATATTAGCTTTTTGATTACCGTAGTTGTTAACAGATTTTTAGACTGGCATTTAAATGCAATTCAACCACCTGTTCCGACTCAAAGCTTCTAAAGTCGAACTGGGTTGAAATATAAATATGATTAGTAGTATTACTTGTAGTCCCAGTCCATCTGTATATGTTAGTCAATCTTTATTCAATGTCAGGTTATCATTGGTAATGAGGTACAGGTTTTTTCCTTATTCATCTTAATGGTCTCTCCATTACTCCTATGACCAATTTCTTGTGGAAAATATTTTCTGACACCTTAGTATATTGTTATTGAAATCACTTAATAGGGTCGCCAGATAAAGACACCTTCAGAACCTGTGTTGAAAGTGCTTCTGAGTATTTAGCCGGCGAACGTGAGCTAATTCATGTAAGTTTTAAGTTTTTATAAAAAGTTTCAGATAATTTATGATAGTATGATGTAGATCAAATAATATCCCTAAAATAATTACTTTGGTGCGAGGACCTATATTTGCATCCTTATATGGCTTCTAGAAAATAGGCTAAAATATCCTAGGTATGTTTAAAAACCCAAACTAATGATCACTTACACAGTTGTTTCACCTTAAACTTACTTTTCTGTGCACTCGACTTCTGATTCTTGTTTCAATGGAATTAACTGATTAGTATCTACATTTATTCCACGTAAATTATGTTCTTTGTCTTGTGAATGGTTAGGCTGACATTAGTACGTATTCCAAACCATCAGTAGTTACCTGTCATTCCCTACTTAGGGTTCGATGGCGAAGTCGTACTTCTAACTGTAGAGGGGTGTGGCAGCATTTTAGATGCTATATCAGTCAGTCAGTAACAACGTAGAACTTCGTACGTACGTACATCAGTTCGAGTTGCAACACCACATTAGCACAGAGATGCCGTGGTCGATCCAAATCCCGTAGTGGTAGAGGTAATAAGAGTATAAGCAGTAATCGGGAAGATTAGTGTTTGGAGATGTTACTTAATACAGTGAAATAAACTTGGGAAGAGAAAAAGAAAGAGACAAGGGGGAATCAGGAGATCAAAATTTTGGAGAACATAAAGAGTGGATGCACCTGCGCCATTGCAAACGATTTTGGAAATGTCATTCAGGGTCTCTAACCATCGGTTACTATCATCTCGCGGTCCCCAACCAGGTAGTATACACCTATCAACATGACTCAGACCACTTGTCAGTAACTTCATGGACTTGTGCCATGTTTTGGTCTGGTCGCCCCTAGCTTTCTTCCAAATTACTCCTATATCACTGAACATCGCACGTCGAGGCAGTCGGTCGTTGGGCATACGTAAAACGTGTCCCAGCCATCTCAGTTGATGAAGTTTCACCACTTCATCAATTGATTTGCCATCCTTACCTAGTACTCGTTTCCTAACAACTGTGTTACTTACTCGATGCTCCCATGATATACGAGCAATGTTTCGAAGACACCTATGATCGAATACTAGTAACCTACGAATATCCTCTACTCTTACCGGCCATGTTTCACTGCCATGAAGTAAATCGGGACGTACTGCTGCGCAGTAAACCCGTCCTTTGGTTGATAAACGGATATCTCACCTACGCCATAAATGATGCAAGTTGGCAAAAGCTAGTCGAGCCTTCTGTATCCGTGCTGAGATTTCGTCACACACCAGACCACAAGGGCTGATGAGTCTTCCAAGATAAGTGAAGCGGTCGACACGCTCAATTACTTGACTCCCTATCATTAGTTCGGGTGTTGATGCAACCCAATCCTGAAGCAACAATTTGCATTTCGAGGGAGACAATCGCATCCCGAACGTGCTTGCATTGTTGCTTAGAGTGGTCAGAAGCCTCTGCATTTTGTCAGCGTCTTCACCAAATAAAACTATGTCATTAGCATATTCTAAGTCAACAAATGAACCTCTTGGTAGAAGTTCAACCCCTGGAAATTTAGATGAGGAGAGTGTTATCTCTAAAAGTACGTCGACCACAAAGTTGAACAAGAATGGAGAGAGTGGACAGCCCTGACGAACACCACTTGAGGTAATCAATTCTGATGACAGTTCGCCATAAGCTCTCACTCGACCAGTTGTGTTCGAGTAGAGAGCCTGTATAAGGTTAATATACTTCTTTGGTACTCCTTTCAGTGATAAACACTGCCATAGAACCTTACGATCAACAGAGTCGAATGCCGTCTTAAGGTCGAGAAATACTACCATTATGGGGCGTCTAAACGTGTGTCTGTGTTCTAGAACCTGACGTAGTGTGAATATTTGGTCTATACAACCACGTCCAGGTCGAAAACCAGCCTGATTTTCTCTAGTCTGTTCTTCACTGGCTTTAGTTAGGCATCGAAGTATTATTGAAGCTAATATTTTAGACACTATATTAGTCAAACTGATCCCTCTGTGATTGTCACAAGAGGACTTTTGTCCTTTCTTATAGACTGGTACAATCAGTGATTGAGACCAGTCAGATGGGATTACGTCCAGTTCCCAAATTCTACCTAAGACCTCGGTTAATCTCATTGCTAATACTGGACCACCATCTTTAAAAATCTCAGGAGTAAACCTGTCAGGGCCTGCTGCTCTCCCTCGTTTCAGATTTCCTATGGCTTTTTCAATTTCGTAAAGAGACGGAGGACCTACATTAACTTGCCATTCAGGTTGACTAGAGATCGTGGGAAACCGAAGTGTGACTGAATGCCAGTTGAACTGATCCCTGAAGTGTTCTGCCCATCGATCCAATCTCCTGGATTGGGAACGAATAATATGTCCATCTTTCTCTGAGATTGTTTCGCTAACAGTCGGTTTCCTAATACCGGTTTCCTTAACAAGTCTGAACAATTGTCTGTTATTACCTATTGCCGCTGCCTTTTCCATCTCTCTTGCTTTCGCTACCCACCACTGTTCGCGATCATTGCGTAGACTTCTTGTCAGCTTGCGCTTAAGCTGACTCCGCTCTTCACTATGTTCAGAGCCAGGTGGAATGAGTTTCCGAGCATCTATCAGTGCGATAGATGCTGCTGAAATCCAGTGTTGCTCTCTAACCTTCTGGTTTACCTTACTAGCAGATATCACTGCTGTTTCCACAGCTTTACGGATATCATTCCATGCTGCCTCGGGGTGGGCATCACATACATGGCTGCCTAACTGTTTTCCTAGTTGTTCCTGAAATATACTCTTAGCTTGACTATCATTAAGTAGACCCCTAAGAGGTTTCCTTGCAGCGTCTTTCCTACGTCCAGTGAGACGCAAGCAAATACGCGCTCGCACTAGAGCATGATCTGAATCTAAGCATGTGCTCCAGAATGAGTGACAGTCTTCCATCGAGCCCCTCCATCGGTGGCTGATAGCGATGTGATCTATTTGGGTCCAACGTTGGGACGAATTCGGGGGTCGCCATGTTAAGAGATGTTTTTCTTTATGCTTAAAGTTAGTATTTGCAAGGAACAGGCGATTATCTGAGCATAGCTGCAACAGACGGTCGCCATTATCTGTTCTTTGAGCCACGACACCATAAGATCCACCTAGGTGTCTTTCCCTATCGCTTAGTTTACCTACTTGAGCATTAAAGTCACCGGCCACTATTACTACATCATAGCGCCTAGCTTTTCGGAGATGGTCGGAAAACTTTCTGTAAAACTCATCTTTTACATCATTTGCGCTGCAGTCAGTGGGAGAATAGGCAGAGACGACGAAGAGGCAACGACGGGTGTCCCTATCTTTCCGGATTCTTACTGTTCCGTTCAGTCGGACAGCGCACAAACGGCTGTCTACTGGGATCCAGTCTAAGAGAGTTAGTTCTGCTCGGGGACTCAATGCTATACCTACGCCGGCGAGGTCACGGGAAGCAGAATCAGGGCTTCCAGATACACGAAGCGTAAATTGTGTCAGTTCTTTATTTTGGCATGGTGAAGCCAAACAAATGACGCTTGGATCTTGTATGCGCGTTTCGGAGACGCAGCACACATCGATGGTGCGAGATTCTAAAGTCCTAGCTAAGGAAGCCTGCTGTCCTATTTGGCAGTGTTCGGACGTTAAAAGCTCCTACGTGTAGTTTAGAGCGTGGTTTCAGGAGACCAGGAATAGAGTTCCACGTACTCGAATCGTTTGCCCTAGCGGTGCGAGGTGAGGAGGGTTAGTCATGGAGATAAGAGAGGTATTAGGAGGTGTAGGGAGGATTTGAATGTGACCAACTTGGTCTCGTGTGCTGAGGGCTGTTGTCACTTCCCGGCTGCCCACACCGTGAAAGGGTATTTCTTGAGGAACCTGAAAAGGAAATTGGATTAGTGTTGGTCTTGACGACCTGGGAGCGTGACCGCAGAACCCAAGGGACAACTGCTTGAGGCCGGTCGCACACGGCCTTTTTGTGGAAGGTATTTGACGTGTTAGCTCCGTTCTTCAAAGGGCCTTATCGCCGGAGACGGAAATCCGTGACGTAAGGTGAGGTGTGACATTTTTAGGGTCGACCTTTTCTAACCCCACCCCTCCTTGTGGGAAGGCAGCATCGCTGTCATGCTGGTTGTCTGAGGGAAACACCTTACTGCTGTCACACCTCTCTACATTCAGCAGTACGACTTCGCACTCAGACCTTGAGTTGCTGCTTTTAGTCTTACCGTTCACCAATCGACCTGCCTGGCATAGTAGAACCTACAGGAACATATGTTCCAGCCAATATAGCTCGGTTGGGTCATCACGATAGGCAAGCCCGACCATCGCGTCAAGGTAGCAGCTTCGGTTGGGTTAGATGCTATATTAGTTAAACCAATCCCTCTATGGTTGTCACAGGACGATTTTAACCCTCTCTTATGTATCGGGGCAATAAGTGATTGCGACCAGCCAGATGGGATTACGTCCAACTTACAGAATTTAGCTAAAATATAAGTCAACCTAATTTGTAAAATTGGACAACCATACTTAACGACCTCTGGAGCCAATCCATCTGAACCAGCTGCCCTTCCTCGTTTCAGATTATCTATAGCCTTTTGAACTTCTGCTAGAGTTGAGGGACCTACTTCAATGTTCCATTCACGCTGTTTGGGAATGGTGGGTAGTTGTAGAGTAGCTAAAGGTAAACTGAACTGCCCTTTAAAGTGTTCTGCCCATTGTTCTAAACGTCTGGACTGGGGGCAGGTAAGTGTCGTCTTTTTCCGAGATAGTCTCACTTAAACTTGACTTTTTCGTTCCAGTCTCTTTTATGAGTCTGAAGAGCTTTTAGTCTTACCGCTCTTCAACCGACCTGTCTGACATGGTAGGACCTTGAGGAACGGTTGTTCCAGCCAGTATAGCTCGATTGTTTCATCACTATAGGCAAGCCCGACTATTACATCAAGGTAGCAAAAACGGTCGGGCCTGAAGCCAATATATTTAACTGGTTACAGTGTTGATTGAGGAGTAGCCAGTTGAAAATAGGTATTGTTGTTTTATGTGCTTCTGAAGTAGCAAGAGTTTGCAGTGTTAAAGAATTAGAGTTGCTTGATTATATTATAAATTTCAATTGAAAAGTATTCATCTACATAGTGTTGGTTTTAGTAGTAGGCTCCGGAGTTTTGATTTTAAATATTAGTTTAGCAAACAACTATTATACTAGTGCATCATGATAGTACCTAAATTTCGTGACTTTGTTGTCTAAACTATGTTCGTATTTTTAGGCTACTAATATAATAGACCAATTCATAAACTTTAATACATATAGCAATTATGACTACGATGGGTTTATTGAAAAAAATGTTAAAGACTACTCAAATGGTTTTTAAATATAAGAGACATAGAGATATAATGTAACGCATGTACGGGCGAGGTTAACATGCAGGTTGGTGAGGTATATGACAATTTAACAATAGTAAACATGGCCAGAAACATAATTTTAAAGCTAGTGAAACTTATAGAACTTTAGGTAGGAGTATGACGAGTTAGAAAATTTACATAAGAAGTTCCTGCATTTAGCCTAGTGACATTGACAAATATGTCGCAAAAGCGACTGGAACTAAGAAATGTCTCTAAACAACACACTTTTTCTTGATAGTATGATGTAGTACAAAAGTATTATTACCAAAAGGTCTTGGGAGTGGCTCGTATGAAATATATACAATCAGTCTAACGGAAAAAAATCTATGTAAGTTAAGAAATGCTAAAAACAGTAAATTATCCAGGAAAGGATAAAACTCGCTTGGATTATTTTCTTTTCGCTTCACTAACGTTGTGCTGATAAGGTCGGATTCATTGAAATTCAGCTGATTATTTTATCATGACTTGCTCAGATTCCGTTAGAACCATGGGTATTTTGGATTTACTTAAAGAGAAGGATTTGTATTTCCCACTCATTTTTGTAGGGCTAACTGACAGTAAAGACTACACTGTCTTATAGAAAGGTATTTTAGGTTAATCTCCTAGTTGTTGTTGTTACATGTTTGCGTACATTGGCGTCCATCTTTTAAATGATCAAGTATTCGTTCGATTCATAGCAATACAGTGACTGGCAGGTTGTGTATCATGTGTTTGTTTATCATGTTCTGATTTTCAATTTCAAATTTTTGGAAGTTTATTAGGTTATTTTATCTTGAGGTTTACTTAATATTGCTTCGATTTATTTCCTCATACTACAAGCTTGCTAGCCACAACCATACTCAACTCGCTTGCAGACTACGTCATCTACACGATCCTACAGAAACATACGGTCAAAATCCCTATGAACTTTTTAATTTTGGTATCAAAACCCTTATCGAAATTGGTCTCCATAAAGTAATAAACGACTGTGTTTATCTTCTCGAAAGTAGTAAGTAAAAATTAAAACACTACTAATCTTTCTGCCCACTGTGCTTACGTATGAACAGGTGTTTTCCAAACTTCCGGTTATCTTTTTGGAAGACAAAATTAGTCAACTTAGGATAATGTGTAAAATTTTGGTCTCAATGCTTCAACACTACTTTCGTTCAAAATAAAGTTGATGACATGTATTTTATTCTGTTCATGACCTGTCAGTTATATGTCTTCATTTTAAAAAGTACTAGTATTTATACCCTGACATAAATCTACCACTTTAATTTAAAATTCAAATCGCTATTTTGTAGATTTTTCGTTGCCTTGTCTATATATAAAAATGTTCACCTAGTTTTATAAAGCTAAGCATATTGTTCGTCAACATTCATTTTTTGCTTCATTTGAGGGTGTAAATATTGACCAGCATGAGATAATACGCATTAATCATATTCTATAATTTGTAGATTAAAGATATTGAAATCCAAGTTAAATCTCATAATTCGGATTAAAGTCATCCTTTTCACTAGCAATAACTAACTTGAATGCTTTTTAACTCCAAAAAGTAAAAATATACTCACTCTCTCTCTCTCTCTGTATATATATATATATATATATATATATATATATATATATATATATGCTGTCTGGCAAGTATTTTTAAGGAATAGAACTATTCAATTAAGTTCAGAATCCTAAGTAAATTTTTCTTTTAAGAACAAAATTTCAATTTTGTCAATGGAAAAAGTTTTTCTAATTTCAGTGATTCCAGAGTCGTCTACATTTTTTGAAAGCGACAAACAAAGTGGATGGAATTTAGAAAGTCAATGGGATGTATTACACCATTTATTTAAGTCCGTATCATTTTTGGTATGTCTTAGAACAACGGTATCGAAATCATCTTTACTTTCTGAATTAAGGTTTGTTATGTATTCTATTTGATTATGTACATTTAATGTAAACTCTTAGTTACAATTAATTGTTAATGTTTTCTTCCAGCTATAGTTCTGCTACATATGTATTATGTAATCAACTAGAAATTACTCCCAGTTATCGAACTTGTTGGAAGATTTCATAGCCAACTAATAAGGTTTTAGTGTTGCATACACTCCAACGTCTAATCATTCAACTGTGCATATGCCTAGTTGGTTTATCTATAGAAAATATAAATATCCATCCATATTCGATAATTCACCGCTCTGCTAATATTCGTTGCTATGTTAGTAGAAAGTGAACACTGCTGTTTTTACGCTACAGTTTCGTGGTAGTTTCTTTATATACCATTCATGTAACTAATCGGTGTGCTGTAGTTTTGCAAATAAGTTTATAACTGAGATCTATTTTCATTCTAAAGTTTTAAATTGTCCAATGTCCATGGTATAGGATAGTAACATTTGACAGTGTAGCTTCAATGGTTGTAAGATAATACTTCGAGGAAGTAGACTAATGTAACTACAATTTTGGGATACAACATAATTATTTATTTTTTAGAAGAAGATTAATCTTTACTGTAATCCAATTAATGATCCCTGTATTCTCGTCATTTAATGTAAACTTATCACAAAATATAACTATAAATTTCGTATTGCTTTAAATGTCTAAAATAATCTTTTTTGAATATATCATACAACAAGTGTGATACCATCGCATCAGTTTTCGCATATATTCTCTCTAGCTCCTGTTTATTTTATTTTTTGTTTGCTTTTGTATAGAAAAATTATGGCTCAAAAATCGCCAAAAAATGAATGGAAATCTGCACTGTACGAGCCTAATAATAAGCCATTTTGTATGACTCATAGTTTCTCTCTACCTGTATCTGAGTTAGTTGTTCCACTATCGATGTAAGTTGTATTTTTTATATTTTATTTTGTTTTATGAAAAGCTTACTTCAAATATTTGTAATCTTTCTATGTGAGTGGTGTGTCCGTAGTGAACGAAGAATTGGTAGAGAAACTAACTTATTGTTTAATGCAAAATTGCAGAGTGCTTTCGTGTAATATGAAAACCGTACAACAGACAGACACATTATTTGCACGTCTTCCCTCATTTTTCCTTTACATGCTTCATCATTTTTTTCATTCTGTTATTACAATTGCTTTCTGTTTACCTCTATGTTCTTCTCAATTGAATCTTCTTAATATTTTGCTGGCATGCATTCCACTTCTGATCGGTTTTACATACTGCTTATATCTGTCAACATAAGTAGCCTACACCACATGTCCAATATGGTGATAAAATTAAGTTACTTATTATGTGATATTGGTGGTTATATAATTATTGGTGATTCACATTTATGCTGTAGGTCAAGTGCAAATACCAGAGGTGCATGTTTTAGTATGAATAATTATGTATATGATACGTAAGATATCTGTCTGGTCAACTTGACCAGTTACAGTTACAGGTCACTTTAACTGGACAAATCAGACAAAAAGCTCAGCAGTATATGGCATGCATCTATGCATTTTGTTAAACTACTTGATTTCGAATTGAGTCGTTACAGAAAATATTTCTAGGGGCGTTAACTTTAGTGAGTACTTCTCAACGTTTTATTTTATTTCTTAATGTTATTTCATGTCGTTGTTACCATAGGTTATCTCCAGATCTTTGGATTATGCGCATAGATGCCAAGCATCCTGTGCCAACATCAATACGCATTATTTACGAATTGGTTACAAAAGACGGTTTGTTACTTTTTAGTCTATTTAAAAGAATCACCGGTATTAATTTTCATTAAAATCTTTGGCTTTAGTTAAGTAACGAATAATTTAATGGTCAACTTTTCGATTTTATTGTGTTAATCTTCTTATTTCTGTAAAACAAGTTTATAACTTACACTTTACTCAGAATACTAAACAGAAGTACAGAATATTCATCTGATTTATTCGAAGAAAAGGAAGGAAATAATATTAGTAGTGTATCTTGTCAGGCCACTTGGAAAACTTTCAGTCATAGATATCGTACTACGGACCTATCAAGACAATGGAATATATATATTCAATACATATGTAAAAGGAAAAATGACGGTGAAGTGGTGAATGGGGTGGAAAGATCCACTGTGCCAATTGTTGGTTAAATATTCAGTATCGTCCATATTTTCTTATCTCTTAATCGTTCTTTCTTAACTTGTATTTGTTTACTGTCATTTCAGTGCTAGCATGGGATGTATATCTTAAGATGTAATGTCGTTTAAATCAGTTCTGTTTATCTATTCATATTAGGATTTGCACTTTGAAAACACACAGATTGAATGGGTATTCCTTTAGTAAATAATTCATGATGAGGGTTCAAAAAGCAATAGATGTTTGGTTTGACGTCAAGTGCATGAACTTATACTTGATTGCTGAGTTGCATTGTGTATTGCGATGGCTTAGTGGTTACAGCAACTTGACCTAACGCATTGAAGTCGAACTAATAACATGTTTGACTAAAGATTGATTGTAATGTGTTGATATTGCTCATCAAGATGTACGTGATAGAGTACCTAGAACACAATTCATGCTATTGATAACAAATTATAAAATGTAAAAGCCAGGTCAACAACCGTAATAAAAAGTGAATAAAAACTGAATAGACTTTGACGGATTATTTAAATGCATCCCAAAACTGCAAATTGCACTGCCACACTGATATAAACTATAGATGGATAGTGATAGTTTGTAAGAATATTGTTATTGGTGTACTGTTGATAAATAACGGAACATCAATTTAATGAATAAACAGAAAGGTACATTTTCCCTTTTTGAAGATGATTAAAATCATTTCCATTTAATATGTAAGTAACTTTATGAAACCATTTGTAAGATGTCGTGTAAATGTAACTTTTACTATCTCCCTTTTTATTAAACTCTACCTTTCACAACTTATCTATTATCTACCCATCTGCTTTTTAGGACAAGAACAGTATGCATGCCATAAGTTACGAATGGTTGACAGTTACTGGCCAAATATGTCATAATTTTGTGTGTTGTACTCATTTCAGATCGGATTCTTTAATGGTTAGTTATATGTTCTATCAGATAACAGATGACAAATAATATAATTTATTTGAGTTATTTACTTGAAGATATTTTGCAATATATATTCTTCCCATATATATGTTCTTTTTCACAAGCATATATTTAACCTTCAAATTTTCATAAATCATATCATGACGAATTGTATGTAGTAGTTTGTTGGGGCATCCTTGTGACTTGTTCTTTGAAAAATGGAATTTTTGGATTGGGTAGTAGTTTTACATTTGACATTTTCCTCGTCTGAATATATGGATTTGATTAACTAAAGGGACTTCCGTATCTCTGTAATTAGTCGTCTAGGTATACATTCAAATAAAAGAAATCTTAAGTAGCACAAAACAAGGTATAAGTATCTTAGCTTCATTGTTCTGGTGGTTACATCTATGCGGGATGTGGTAAACAATAGTTATGGTCTGATGTATGCTAGGGGTTTGTACAACCAATATTTAATTATCTTTTGCTCGTAGCGCGTTGTCACATTACATTGAATCCCCTTGTAATCATTACGAAAAAAGTGAATGGGAAGCACACTATTGGCCATTATCACTCTTATCTTATGAACTAACCTTCCACTCTCCAGCTGTGGCAATAATGTATCTCAGTAGCGTGAGGCTAATCAGGTAGTTCACTTACTAGCATAATCAACTGTTAAACAAAAGTTAAAGTATTGGTAGATTATTTTTAAATTTGATGTGTTGAAAAGATCGAGAAAGAGTAACTGAACGAGTTTAAATGTTGGGTAATCTGTAGAAAATGTATGGAGATTACTGTTGTTCTACATGGGCACGGTAACTATAACAAAAAGAAGTGAAAGTGCAAAGATTGTTAATAATGATTTATTTGACCTATATAGTAAATTAAAATGACATGAACATACCGATTGAGTTCAAGAGTCAATCTAACCTAGACCACCTTTGAAAGCACTGGGCGCCCGTTTCGTCCTATCATGAGACTCCTAAACAGTGTGTACACGATACGGCAGGTGGGACTCGAACCGAAAGCCTTCGGTCTCGCGCGCAGATGTCAAACTTCTAGATCACTAGGCCAACATTTGACGATGGTAATACCTAACTCCAATCAGTCCATGATCTTGCACAACCCTTCGTCCATTGCCTGGGGTGGATAACTGTCTCACTCTCGACACAGATTGAATTCCACCGGTCACGGCTTCTCACTAAGTACAAAGGAATCATCAGTTGGTACAAGTACCATAACAGCTTAAATGGGAATCCAAATTTCTATAATGGGTTGCTCGTCATTGATATGGACAGCCAATTGGAAGTAGCAAAAGGTTAAGTGCATTTCATTGGGGTCAATTTCCTAAGAATACAGCTGTATATATGTGGATGAGTAACTGCTTTTCATTCGGTAGTCCGACACTTTCCCGCCTTTTGTGTTCTCGCTCAAGCACTCGGTTGGAGGGGGTTAGCGCGAAGCACACAGTGTACCAGTACATCACAAGTCTTCTTAGGTTACCATGTGTCTGTTCAGTTGTGTATTGGATGTAGACTGCATAATCTGGTCCCTGGGATTGTATTTGATCACCATGTCAATTATGTGTACTTAAATCATTTATGTCTAGAATTCAAACCATAGATTTCCGAACATTATTCACTACAATCCCCGTGGATGGTCGAAAATCATTCCCATGATATGTAACTTCAGCACATCCTAAACACTTCATATTCGAACAGATAATCTGTCGAAATAAGTACTTCTGTAGGTTCTGTACGTTAATGCTGACCTTACTGAACACATCCTGGCTAAAGGTGTTCGATCACGCATCCATACCAGATCACGAATAGGCACACCTTACCACACTCTTGCAACTACTAAGCAGCTTAGACCGAACGCTCCTCAACATATCTATGGCTTTCCAAATATATCTTCGAATCCCTTCATTTATGATTTGACTGGGTTGGTTTACTTCGGTTATGATGGCGTTGTCAAATAATTGCGACATCTTTAAACACCACTCTTTATTAAGTTTGGTGGAATCTCGTCACAGAAATATGTTTACTTCTGTCTCCAGTTCATCAAATGTTGAAATAGCAATGAAATTAATATCAGTTCTTAATGTCCTGTCAAACTTTTCTCCCTGACCATTGGGACAAGGGTACCTGAGAACAGTGAATAGATTTTCGCACCCTATGCTGTTCAACCAAGTAATAACTGTGTCTGCAGGGAAACAAGAGCCAGTATCAGTCAAATCATAGTACCTCCTTCCCAACTAAACACCTTTCTTAACGGCTGGATTGTAAAGTCAGAATTTGCTGAAGTTGTGAAAATAACTCCGGACTTCATCTTTTCAACACTTAAATATCCATCATGAAGATGTTCAAGGACAGATTTGAGTAATGAAGGAGGAATAGAAACACGATCATTTAAACACAAAATATCTTCAGGAGTAGTGCATAACTCATCCCGCACTGAGAAATAGACAGGAAATCTACTTTTCAAATAAGCATTCCAAGCTTTGCGCATAACACTGAGTATATATCCAAATTATCTATGAGTTTCTCTAACGAGGCCTGGACGTTTCACTGGTAAAGTCTGCACTATCAAACAGCCTGAAGTATTAACAAGTTTATGCTGTAATGATTGTCGAGAAATGTAGTCAACATGTTGGATTTGTTTACCACTCCTGTGCTAAACCGTGTGGTCATAGGCACTTACAACAGCTCACGTGCAATTGAGTTTGTTCACATTAACCTTTGTTAGCTCATTTAACGGACAGTGTCATTCCTTCAATAACAACTTATCTATACTATTGTATCTCTATTATTGCTGTACTTGTATGAATATGTATGGTTGAGCATTGTTTACCGCCTACGCACATATATATATGTATATTCTAATTCTGTTCATTGACTCGCTTACCTGCTTACATAACGTATTTGTAATTTTGATTATCTGTGCGTGACTTGAGCGACTCTAAGGTTGTGGTTTATCATAAGAACTAAGCAACTTACTAGAAATTTTCGCTGATTGGAAATCAAGTTCGCTTACTGCCCCATAGTTAGACCTGCTGTTGTAATTTCTTGGAATGAAGTCTTAGATTTCCGAATTAGTTCTCACTCTTAATTTGGAATATTTATCCCAGCAATCAACCGACCATGAAGCTGGGTTTCGAATTGATCCCCGAGGTCGCACTTCGTGATCTGTTTCTGCAGCGCAGATATAAAGTCTCTTATTTAACCTGCAAATTTATATTCACGAAATAATTGACCTAAAATATTACGCTTAATTGAATGCTGTGAGAATTAATCCAATAGATTATTACTTGATTCAATAGATAAAGTATGTACAGTGGATTCGTAAGAAACCTGATGATTGAACAGGTGCGTAGCAGAGAATACGTCGAGAATGGGGTAAAGCGTATACTTTTTTGGGTGATCGTCAGTACGATTGTATGTATGTATGAGTAACATGAAGATTCAAAATATGTTTTTAAAAGATTTGGCCGAGATCACGAAACATATATCCCGGGTGAAATCTGTTAAAATGGCAAATAAAGAACACAAAATGTATGGAATAAAGTCGTTTGGTCATACTTATGTGATCAATGTGCGGTATATTGGTGTTCAGATCAATTTACATGAACGTGTTTGAGCAAAAACAAGAAAATATGGAAAACAGTCAGTAGCTTGTTCTTAAAAATACTGTTACTCAAAACTACTAATACGAGTATTCACTGAACCAGCTAACCAATTAGTTGAAAATGAAAGGATTCAAGGCTGTACCAAGATAATGACTGTTTTATGTGACTTGTACTGACTAGTTGTCGTAAAAATGCGCAGCATAACGTCGTGCCTAAACATGATATGGGGAACCTTTGGGTAGGGACGTGTCCAGCAGAACTGATGTCTAAAATGTACCAGAATATTTCATTTCGGTCCTTGCTTACAATTAAAATCCATAACCAACATAAGAGAAATACTAAATCATTTAATGAAAATTAATCAAATTGTAGACATTACGAGTCTTTACATTCAGTTTTGCTGTTATATCAGATGTTTAGCAGAATGGAACATATGATTATTGGTGTTTAGAGAATGATATTCTGCAAGCAGAGAAATTAACTCAGCCTGCAGTTCTTTCAGATTTGCTGCCGGTTTCCAACTTGGGTAAAGGAGGAAAGATGGACATGGGGCGAGCAACTCCACAGAGTACAAAACAACCTTACTAAAAACTTTAACTAGAATGAACAAAGTGAACAATACAAACCCTCCCCTGAAAGTTGGACTATCCTCATTTAAACAAATTGTGGAGCCGCATGCTGAAAGCCTAGGTTTTACGGAAGTCACGAGGCCGATGCCCATTCTAACAATCAGAGCGGCGATTAATATGGGTACGTGGAATATCAGGACAATATTAAAGATCAAAAGGACCAATGAAAAAATAGCTGCGAAATGAGGAGATACAACCTAACGTTGCTCGGAATCAGTAAAACCCACTGAACCCAAGCTGTACAGAAAAGTTTGAATCGAGAAGAGATGCTGTTGCACTTTAGTCACAAAAAGTAAAATGCTCCACACACACAGGAAATTGCTGTGACGCTGTCCAAAGAAGCACGAAATGCACGTATAGGATGTGAATCTCATGGATCCAGGATAATCAAAGCATCACTTAAAACAAAGAAGGAGGGGGTCACAATCAATGTTATCCAGTGCTATGCCCTCATCAATAATAACAATGCCGACAATAAAGGCCAATTTTACAAGAGGCTGCAATCGATCATACCCATGAAAGGACCTGGCCATTCTGATGGGAGACTTAAACGCCAAAGTCGAAAAGGAAACCATCGTATACAAAGATATAATGGGACGACATGGACTGACTGTGAGAAAAGAAACGATAATGACGAGAAATTTGCAAATTTATGTGCATTCAGCAAAA